GCAGCCGTCATTGTTGTTTGGCAGGTCCGGGCTGGGGATTCGAACCCACCACCTTAGGTGTATGTGGCTGGCGCCTTAGCCGGTTGAGCTATAGGTGCCGAGCCTGTAATGATTTCTTAATCTCAGTGCAACCATTAAAAACAATTCTCTGGGCCAAGAATGATGGCTCATGCCTATAATCCTAGCACTCTGGAGGCGGAGTCAGGTGGATTGCTTGAGCTCAGGAGTTTAAGGCCAACCTAAGCAAGAATGAGACCTCATCTCTAAAATGTAACCAGGTGTTGTGGCGGGTGCCTGTAGTCCCAGCTACTTGGGGGGCTGAGGCAGAAGGATCACTTGAGCCTAAGAGTTTGAAGTTGCTGTGAACTATGATGCCACAGCATTCTACCCAGAGTGACAGAGTAAGATTGTCTCAATTAAAAAAAACAAAACAAACTCTTGACCATTTTATTGAACATAAATTCTCATTGGTAAGTTGTGAAATTGTGCCAGTGTAGCTTCTACAGCTCTGAAAATTAACCAGAATGAACACGTTATTATTTTTGCCACCCTTCAGACTTATTCCTAATGAAAATAGCATAGTATCATCTTTTAGATTTCAACCTAAAGATAGAAATGGAGACCTTTAAAATGTGCCAAGGCATGGACAGTTGTAAAAATGATAAAACGTGGGGGACTGTTGAGTTTAGCTGTTTTACCTCCCTGTTGTGAAAGTAATTTCCTTGGTTAACTCCTAGAATTCAAAGTTTTGATATGACAGGTACTTCCTTTTAAAAGATAGATGCTTTCTTGCCCAGAGGAAATTATCTGCTAACTAATCTCTGCCAGCTAATCAGGAGGAATAACTTTCTCTTCATTCCATGACACATACTCATTCTTTTTGAAAGTTAACCAAAAATAATTCCCTTTTAACAGAAGTTGTTGCTGTTATACAGTTGCTGCAGGAGCACCAATGGGTTTCTTAGGCATTTTTTAACAAACAAGAAATCACAGTTAATCTATATTACATAGTTCCAGGACTAAAAAGGTGTGTGCGTATAAGTTATTATTAGACTCCAAGTATTCTTTCCTCTAAGTAAAGGTGAAAACTTACATGACTTTCAAGTAGAATTAATTATGTAAAACTCTGAAATACCTGAGGCAATAAAAATAAAAGTAGAAAAGAGTTTTTCCTTGGAGGAAAAAGGTGGTGAAGAACTGGCCAACCAGAACTGCGGCGGCCTGGGCTGTTTCTCATTCAGAAGTTCCCTCCCCCTTTCCTGGCCTCCCCTCCCCCAGAGTCTAATCAAAGGATTAGCCTACAGGTTTGGAAACAACAGCAGCTTCAGTTGAAGGCTCCCCCCCACCTCTTCTTGTGTTTAATTGCAGGAACTAGAGAAGTCTTTGGCTAACTGGACTCAGAACTGGAAAGAACTTGAAACCATGAAGGCAGACTTAACCCAGCACATTCTTGTGGAAGACGTGATGGTTCTGAAGGAGCAAATAGAGCATTTGCACAGACAATGGGAGGACCTCTGCCTAAGAGTAAGTCAGTTAACTGCTGAGCCCAGCTGTTTTGGAATTGATTGAAATGTCCCTGAAGGCCGGACCAAGCAGAAAAGACCTTAATTTCACTGAACTAGAGATCCTTTTCAGGGGTACCCCTGGCTGCACTGTTCCTTTAGAAGGCAGCAACATGGCTTAAGAGATTTGACCCTTTTGTCTCTCTAGCACTGAGTGTAGGAAGTTTGCCTGCTTTTAATGAATTTTTTTAAAAAAGTCACCTGAAGTGGGGACAGAAATTGCAGATCTGATCAGATGTACAGACTCTGTTCTCTGGCTTCACAAGTATTTATCAGCTTATTAGAACCAGGATTCAGGGTTTCTTTGGGCCCCTTCCTGGGCTATCACTTCCAGGCTTAAGTCCTGGAGTCTTATCTGATGCCCTGCTGGCATGAGAGCATTTTAGGTGAGAACTCTGCATTTACATGCAATCCAATGTTTATTTTGAGTAGTTTCTAAAACTATAAAAGAAATGATCCACAGCTACACTTCTACTTAGTAAGAATGGAGCTGTGGTTAGAGTATTACACGGTGTGCGTTTGTGACAAGGATCAGGATAGAATTAAAGGGTTCATGTAAGTCTTAAAGATCTTTGTTTTAAGAACGTTTAATTCTTAGGAAAATAAATTCTTTAATCTCATTTTTGTGAACTGAGATGTATTTAGAGAGTTGAAATTCAGACACTTTCTCTTTGATTTTAATATTTAATATTCACAACAGACCCGAATTTTACGTATCTTCTTAGAATTTTTATTCAAATTTTATATAAAAAAATGTTTAGAATATAAGAAAAGTAGCCTAAAAGTTATGGTAGACTCAGAGACTGGGGCCCAGATGTTCCTGATTGTTGCTTTTGTGAAGTCAGACTGACGCTGTGTGTGCTATGCAAAAGTGCCAGGATTTTTAAAAGCAAAACTAAATAGATGCCCTGAGGAATGGAAACACAAAACTTGGTTTTTTTTAGGGATAGGTTTTCAAGGCTTTTTAACACATTTGGCTGGGTACTTGGTATTTTCATCTTACTCTGAAAAGAGCAGAGGTATTTTTTGTACATAGCTGGAAAATCTCAGCAAGTTCAACTTGTCTATGAAGTGGAGCGTTAAAACTTTACCACAAGAACCCTTTTAACTCTTTTAAGAGTCTAAGATTTTTAAAACCTGAGACTACTTCTGCACATTTAGTAAGTCTGATTTGCATTATTTAAATTTATGATTAAGTAATTTTGAACTTTAAAGAGGAGAACCTTTTGCTGATTGGTGTCAGCTTCGGGGTTGCTTTTACATAATGGAGCACTGGATATATTGGGGTCAGCCTGGTTGCTGCAGACCAGATATTGGTGACATCTCCACGGTTTCTAGCCAAAGCCACAGTGCACAATGGGAAGGTAAAGTAAATGAGTGATATGTGTTGTTTTTAGTTTTATTTTACTTTGTTTAAAGCACGACACTAGAATTTTTAAAGAACTTTAATTTTTTTGGTTTGTTTGCATTATAAATGTTTCCTTTATATTGTATCTGCATTGTAGTTTTTAAATTAAGTAGATAGGACATTAAGCTTATATCATTATAAGGACTTGATCAGTTATTAGAAGGGAAAAGATTTGGGTCATAAAGTCATAAATTAGCAGTAGTAAGTTGTCATGGAAAGAATAAAGAACAAAAGAAATGTGGATGATGCTTAATATATTCATCTCACCTTCCCTGTTACTAATTTTTAATATAACCTGAGAGCAATAGCTGTATATTGGATATGATTCAGTCCTTTCAGTCAGGTACACTTTTTAGTTACAGTCCTTACTACTATTTATGGCGTTTATCAGAGGTATGAGAAGTTTATGTCTCACCTTAGGTTTTTAAGAGGCAAAAACATAGAGTTTAAGGCAATAGAGGGGTGACTAAAATGAATGAAATGCATAGTCCTTTTGCTGTGGGGAGAGAAGGGAGCGCTTTCCTTCCTGAGCTGTGCTGAGCTGCCAAGTGCATTTTCATTCACAGGTGGCTGTGCGCAAGCAGGAGATTGAAGACAGACTCAACTCATGGATTATATTCAATGAAAAAAATAAAGAGCTATGTGCATGGCTGGTGCAGATGGAAAACAAAGTCCTACAGACAGCAGATATTAGTATTGAAGAAATGATTGAAAAGTTACAGAAGGTAGGCCGAAAGGTACCCGGTGGCTGCAGATGTGCGATGCTCTGCCCCACTTACAGACTCAAAGAGGAAGAATGTCACAGGCGTGTTCCTAGTAGCATTTTGTTACAAGAAGTCAACGGCAGTTTTTTCACTATTTGATGCTTTTGAGAGAAAAGGTGGAAAAGAGAAAATTCCAGAGAGATGGAAAGTGGGAGACCATACTAGGTGGGTTTGGGACTGAGAAGAGTCTGACCAGAGAAGGTGTTCACATCTCCCAAGTGACTAAGGGTTCTCTGCCTGTTATTGTTAAGGGCCTCCCTTTGCCGAAGGGAGAGGTGGACAGGAATGGGGTTCATAATTTTAAAACAGCCATTAATCCCCATAGGGAAAGGTAATAAGAACATTCTTCCAGCAGTTACCCAGAACACCACTCAGTCAAACTTTGGAGAACTTTTACTGATATCAGGCTACACCTGGGTGTCCTCAGCTCCTGGGCAGTTTAGATTAGGAGAAATCTATAAGAGGAAACAGAGGGACTTTTTTTTTTTAATTAAGAGCCTTATTTCCAATTGAGACAAGGTTTCACTATGTTGCTCAGGCTGGTATTAAATTCCTGGGCCTAAGTGGTCCTCCTCCTCACCCTCCTAAGTAGTTGGGACTAGAGGCAGGTGCCACCAGAAGGGCTTTTGAATTAAGAAAGTAACTACCACTTGCATATTTCACATTAGGTCAACTGGGCATTGCTTGACTTTTTAGCTGCTCACCCATAAGTTGCATTAAAAGGCATGAAATTGTTTTAAAAAATGCCAAAAGGCTACAGTGTGTTTGTGGTCAGAGAAGAGATGAATTTTTGATGATAATCCAGGCTTTGTGTTTTGGGGCCTTTTGCCAGGACTGCATGGAAGAAATAAACTTATTTAGTGAAAACAAGTTGCAGTTAAAGCAAATGGGTGACCAGTTGATCAAGGCCAGCAACAAGACAAGAGCGGCTGAGATCGATGACAAGCTCAACAAAATTAACAATCGCTGGCAGCATCTTTTTGATGTCATTGGATCAAGGTAAGAAACCGTAAAAGTGACTTTTACACCCTAGGTACAGTGGTTACTTCACAAAACTGAGCCAGTCTTCCTGTAAAATAATCCAGCAGTTTTGTATATTTATAGATTAAGGAAAAGTTTGGTAAAAATGAGGGCAAATTCTTATTTCTTTCTTTCTTTTTTTTTTGAGACAGTCTTATTTTGTCACCCTCAGTAGAGTGCTGTGGCATCACCACTTACAGCAACCTCCAACTCCCAGGCTTAGGTGATTCTCTTGCCTCAGCCTCCCGAGTAGCTAGGACGACAGGCGCCCACCACAATGTCTGGCTATTTTTTCGTTGCAGTTTGGCCGGAGCCAGGTTTGAACCCGCTACCCTTGATATAGGGAGCTGGTACCCTACTCACTGAGCCATAGGCGCCACCCATCTTATTCCAACTTTATAGGAAAATTATGTTTTAGTATATCCCACTTTAATATTTTTCCTTTTAAATTCTTTTTTCATTTTAAATTATTATGAGTACATAATTGGGGGGGGTTGTTTTGTTTTGTTTTGTTTTAGAGACAGTCTCACTCTGTTACCCTTGGTAGAGTGCTGTGGCATCACACCTCACAGCAACCTCTAGCTCTTGGGCATAGGCGATTCTCTTGCCTCAGCCTCCCAAGTAGCTGGGACTATAGGTGCCCACCACAACACCCGGCTATTTTTTTGTTGCAGTTTGGCCAGGGCCGGGTTTTGAACCCGCCACCCTTGGTATATGGGGCCGGCACCCACTGAGCCACAGGTGCCTTCCCCATAATATTTGTATATCTTTTTAGGGTATGTCTGATATTTTGATACATGAATTAAATCAAGTCAGGATAACTGGGTATCTGTCACTCAGGCATTGATCATTTCTTTGTGTTAGGAATATTCTGATTCTTCTCTCAGTGATTTTAAAGTGTAACCTACCTTAGTGTTGATTATAGTCACTTGGTTGTGCTGTCAAATATTGTTCATTCTTTGTACCCATTGTCCATCTTTGTACCCATTAACCATCCCCGCCATATTCCCCTCTGCCTTTATCCTTCCCAGCCTCTGGTAGTATTTTTTTCTTTAGCTTAAAATTCCATAGGAATTAGAGTAGTTTTAAATGAGAGCTGGAAACCTATTCTAAAAAGGGATCCTTGAGGAGGTCTGCTTCAGCATTTGTGTATCCCCCAGGGAGATCGCACCTGCCTGTTTCTGCCTTGATGGCAGGTGCAGGTAGTGAAGGCACAGGCCTAGTTTTGGGAGCCAGGGGTCCTCTGTGTGTGTACTTGGAGTGCCAGGTCTGTGATGGGCATCTTGTCCATTGGTGAATTTTGTTTTGATTTGTGGTCAGCATCTTTTCCACAGACAAACTAACATGTGTGCTTGGGCACGGCCAACTCCTAAATCAAAGCACTCCACATCAGAATTGTGTTCTCCAGTGTAGTCTTATCAGAAAGAGAGCTGATGATTTTATCTCACCTCGAAAAATGGTGGTGATGCCCAATGTGTTTAAATGTCTTCTGTCTTCAAATTCTCTCTCTAAAGGTAGGCCCCTGGCTCACACCTGTAATCTTAGCACTCTGAGGAGCTGAGGTGGGAGGATCATTTGAGGTCAGGAGTTCAAGAACAGACTGAGCAACATATCAAAACCCCATCTCTATTAAGAATAGGAAAACTAGCCGGGGGTTGCAGTGAGCATATATAGTCCTAGCTACATGGGAGGCCAAGGCGGGAGGACCACTTGAGCCCAAGAGTTTGAGGTTGCTGTGAGCTAAGATGCCATTGGACTCTAGCCTGGACAACAGAGTGAGACTCTGTCTCAAAAAAGAAAAAGATACTCTTATTAATTTGGCATATTCCTTTACCTCATTGCTTTCTGGAAACCACAAGTGAACCTGATTCAATCAGCAAAGTCACCAGACCAAGAGCTGTGAGAAGTAAGATGAGTCCATTACGTTAATGGGAGCAGACATCTGAGCAGCGGTAAAGCCAAGTGGTCTGAGAGCTCAGATGACATCCCCCTGAGGGTAGGGTCGGAGCCGAGCCTCACAGAGGGGCTGTATTCCCAGATGGTCCTGAATGAGGGCTTGGGATTCATGGCAGCTGCTGGCAACAGAGAGGGAGGCAGACGCCAATGTTGAGAGTAAACAGGTGCGGCAGGTGTGGGGCACCTTTAAAGCTGTTCAGGAAAAGATGAGGAGCCTCACTGGCCCCCGTCTAGGAGATGAAGCTAGAAAGCTGGATTCGGGCTCAGTCTTAAGAGACTTTAACTCTCAGCTGACGACTTGGCTTCCTACACAAAGTCCGAGCCATGCACGGTTTCTCAGCCGAGAAGACACTCACTGGGGTGAGTTTGGCTGGCAGGATGGGCTGGCCAGGATTCAACTTCTCTCCACAGCCAGCTGGAAATAAAAATAAGGAATCTGTCAGAATCCATAGCACTGACCTAAGAAAGACTTAAGAACACAAGTTTCGAACCTTTCCTGACCTTGTCACTTATTTACCGTGGAAACTTGAGTATGTAACTTCACCTCCTTGAGCCTGTTTCTCAATCTTTGTCTAACAGCCCTGCTCATGGCAGAGGACACTGGGCACGTGTCACACATGGGGAAACATAACACACTACTTGAAGTGCTTATTATTTTCATTCTTTTTCCCTAAGGTGACTCTAAGTCACATGCTTGTTGGGTGGGACACTTCCATCAGTGGTGACAAGAGGTCTTTCCTCCATGAGGCCAGGGATTTGACTCTCATATTCCCAGGCCTTTGCATAGTGTACTAGATATTTGTTGAAATGAATGAACATTCCAGTGAATTTCTGTGGGATAAACTGTGTCTTTGTCATAGTCTTTATATCCTAAGTCTTCTTGGGCCTGTGGCACTATTCAAGGGTACAGTAACATCACACCTATCTGTGGCTCACTCAGGAGCAAGATCCAGCTTATGCTTCCTAAAGACCAGAGTGACAGTCCATTCTTAATTACTCATGCCCTGGGCATATCACTTTGTAGGTTAATGGGCTGTTTGCTATCCACCATGCCTCTTTGGCTGTCTGTCTTCAGCCAGTTCCTTGGTTGAAGAGATAAAGCAGCAGGTAAAATTTCACTTACACTTTTGGAAAGAACAATTGGGAAAATAAGGGGGTGTAATAATAGCAAATATACTGACAGCCAGCTATGTTCTTAACTGTGTGCCTTTTTTGTGTGATTTCACTTAAGCTTCACTGTAATTCTGAAAGTAAGGTGCTATTATCCCATTTTACAGGTAAGGAAACTGATGCCTGAAACTAAACTGAGGCCTTACCCATAGTTACACAGCCAGCGTACAACATAACTAGCCAGAATTTCAACTCAGGCAGTTGTGTCACACACCTGGCCACGGCACACTCTGATAGTGTGGGACATCAAGATGAATTGAATGGTTGAGAGTCTAATCCCTTCAACGTGGAGGGATTTAGGAGGGAATAACACACCTTAAGGCAAGGGCCATGCTGAGACAGATGGCTGGAATCTAATTTACCCTTCAGGGGACTCTGGGTTGAGCAGCAAGCTTGGACTTGACATAAATCAGCTCAGCTCTTTGATTCCTGACACTGACTTCATCCTGGGCATTGTACAAGGTCATTGCTGTCAGGGAAGGGAGGGGAGCACGGGCTGCAGACTTTTTACATGTGAACAGTGCCAACAAGAAGCAGCCTCATAGGACACTGCAGTTGCCTCATTTGCCCACAGAATTCTGGATACAAGTGAGCCTTTTCCATCCTGCTCACAGTATGCCACTGCTTTACACCTGTGGAAAAAGATTGCTTATTAAATATAAGGTCAGGAGGGACCTTACCCAACAAATGCAATCATTATAACCTTAACTCTTTGTACTCTTAATCCCGAACAATTTTTTAAAAAAATTTCAGATAAAGTAAAAAAAAAAAAAAAAAAAAAAGAAGGTTGGGTGCAGTGGTTCGTACCTATAATCCCAGCATTCTGGGAGGCTGAGGCAGGAGGACCTCTTGAGCTCAGGAGTTCAAGGCCAGCCTAAGCAAGAATGAGACTCTCTCTCTACCAAAAAATAGAAAAACTAGATGGTTATTGTGGCAGCTACTTAGGAGGCCGAGACAAGAGGAAGCTTAAGCGCAAGAACCTGAGGTTGCTATGAATTGTGACACCATGGCACTGTAAGATCTGGAAGAATGGCCAGGTACCCAGCCTCGTGACTTCAGGATTTTAACTATAGACCTTTACTTTCAAGGTTTAGTATGGTGTTCAAAAGTCCAACACCTCAGTAAACCAGCTTTAGTTCACCGTGGGGGAAATGGGAATAAAGCCTGTTATTTTGGGTTTATTATGAGCAAAATAGAGGTAGGTTCCAAAAGAACTGATAAAACATTGAGGATAGGGCTCCTTAAAAACATTAAATTTCTGATCACTTAAGGTGATTCCCTCCATCATTGGGCAGATGGGGGCGGGGCACCGGTGTTGCTTATTTTTTATGTGCCAGGCTCCTCGTGTACTATTTCATTTTAATTTTTGGAACAACACTGCAACTCAGAGGGCCAATGACTTAGCCAAGGCCAGTTGAAATGCTGGACTGGGCAGGAACATTCACAGGGGATCCCAGAGGCCCTGGTGTGGATGTTAAGAGTCACATGGCTTATCTAATTAAATAAACTTTTTTTTAATTGTAGCTAGTAGCTCCTTTTCCTCATGTTTCTTAGATAATATCTTTGGAAGTGACCCAACAAAGCCGGAATGCAGAAGAGATGACTAAATTACACAGTTGCTTTTCAGAGCTACCCAGTATGTGCAGTGCTCTGGGAAGAAGCTAGGTTACCTAAGAACAGTTTAGGGACAAAATGTTGGGTGATGGACAAAAAAGATTCCAGGTTGACTTTCTTCAGCCAGTGCAGACTAAAGCTATGAAAAGACAGTACTTCTGTATCATCCCCTCCATGAGACTGTTACCAAAGAAGGATTCAGCCTACCAGATGATCTCACTTGTGCCTACCCTTGTTTT